GAGGAAGGGGGCCCTCACTAGATGCCGGATCTGCTGGCACCTTGATCTTGGACTTCCAGCCCGCAGAACTGTAAGAAATAAACGTTTGTAGTTTCAGCCACCCAGTCCATGGTATTCTGTTACAGCAGCCCAAACTGACTAAGACACTAGATTACACTTAGACGGCACTTGCTTGCATTTGGGACACCTAATGTAATTTGACACATGTTGAATTTTTTATAAATGTTCTTTTGTAGAATTTTTGGGTGTCTTTATGGTGGCAGCTTGAGACAGGAGATTAGAAATTGACTAAGAGAAAGCTCTTTAGCTTTAAGACGCTATTTCACTTTGAAGTTATTGAGCAATGAAATCAAGCTATTATTAGGATCAAGGCAGGAAAAGCAAATGGAGCTCTTTTTTGCTCATTAGTTTATGGACTAGAACAGGGAAGGTCTTTTAGTGAAAACATTTAAGAAAAAAATCATATTCATTCTTCATGAGAAGCCATCTGGAAAGCTTTTTAATTTTAAGACCTCATGAAGTCAACAAAGAAAATAAAATGGATGATACTTATACAAAAAGTAGCCTGCAGTCACTGTAAATCTGAAAGCCAGTGACCTGAAATATGCATTCAGTTTTCTAAAATATATTGCGAAGTAGAGAGAGCTGATGTAATCTGAGCTTCTCCCAGGTATTTTAGAATTCAGTGTCTTTCTAGGATAACTTCAAATTATCTTTTCTTTTGACTCTTTTTCAGTAGATCTAAGAATTAAAAATTAAATTAAAAATGAAAAGCTATTAATTCTGAGACTATTTTATAGTCCTTCCAAGTCTATGTGCTCTGGGTATTCCAGTTCATTAACATTATTTTAATTACAAATTTTATTGTAACAAATTAACCAAGGGGTATACTTTCATAATTAAGAAACTTAATGCCTAGTGTAGAATGTGTTGCATCATAGTCAATGTTTGCTGAATTAATCTGAATCTTAGAGTTTTGACCAACTGCTCTCCTCTTTCTTCCAAACTATTAATAAAAAAGTTCTCCCCTGAAAATAAACTTAACTTTCCCATATCTTGATTTAAAAGCCTTGGGCTTGCTAATGTCTTTCTCTATTCTTTTTTCTTCCCCCCCCTTGGTTCATCACAACATCCCAGCACTAGAAAACAATTCAGTATTTAGAATCTAAACTTTAGACCCAACTTGTGTGTTAAACACTCTCTACTTCATAAAGAGTGTTAGTAAATACTAGCCTGAGGTTAGCACCACCCTTCATCTACCTCTGCCCATCTTCCTGGGATTAACTGAAGAAGTTTACTCCTCCAGACCACAAACTTGGTCTTTCATTAGAGAAATTTGTTCACTGCTGGACTCCTTGGGGCTTGGTATGAACCCTGTAATTTGATGATTATCTGGTCTTACAATGCAAATGTTAATTGCAAATAACACTAAGAGCTTGAGAACTAGAACAAATAGGCCAACTAAAGGGAATCTACTCTTAACCATATTAATATTTGCTTCCATGATGTGATTAAATAAGCATAATTGTCTAAAGTATAAGCTGTAGAAATTTACTATCCTTAATAATCAGAGAAATACAGGAGATGAGTTTCTTTCTATCTCTAAAGACAAAGATAGAAAGTCAAAATTCCAAGGGCTCATCAGGAGGGTAACGGAACCCCCAAGGAAGGTATGGATGGTGTCACTACTTGAGGAATACCACAGAAGTCACTAACGTTTCTGCTTCCCTGTAAATAGCTTAGTGAAGTGAGCAAAGTTCTGCCCTGATACACAGATGTGAATTGGAAGTATTTGTTTGTTCATTTATTTACTCAGCATTGAGTATGGGTCTTTGGGGAAATAAAAGGGAGTAAGAAATAGTTTTAGATTTAGAATTGCTTTCAGTTTGGTGGGGAAAAGAGACACATGAACAAATAAACAGTAAAATGGTGATAATAATTAATATAACAAAAAATGCTATGGAAGATCCACTTTGATTGGGGATCTCCGGGAAGGTGTTTTCCAGAGGATGAATTGAGACAGGACTTCAAGGTAAGAGTTCACCAATTACAAGGGTTTCAGGAGGGAAGGACAGTGGTGTGGAAGAAGATAGAACCCCTCTGAGCCCAAGGACTTCTGCTCACTTACATACAAAACCAGACAAGTAAGTGACCAAGAGCAAGGTTTAATTCTGATTGGGATAAAGCCATCATTTAAACTATTTTAAATTTTCTGCTCAATTCACAACTATGGAGGAAGGGAAGATAAAATGGCATTGCTTTTTCTAATCTGCAGTTGAGGTCCTAAGCCCTTTCTCGGGGGATAGGCTCTAGGAAGAATGAGAGGTAACATTTTATAGCTTTCTCTGAGTCAGCTCTTTGAAAGCCTAGAATGCCTGAGGGCCAGTGAGATAGCATAAGACAGCAGATTGGGAAGTGTGACTGTTCCACTGAAACATTAACCAGAATGAAACCTGCAACTCCACATAGAGATAAACAGAAGGGGATCCAATTCAAATGAATCTTATAGGCCCCTGTTGTGTGCAAGCCCCTTACACTTTTGATGGCATATCTCATTTAGTTTTCTCAGCCACCCAGAGAAGTTAGTTCCATTTTACTGATGAGAAAGCCCAGATCTGCTAACCTTTATCCAGTGTCCTCTTTCTTCTATCCTTGATCTAAAAGGTACCTTTTTTCATGGAGTTAAAGACAATTGAAGGGGCTGGACGCAACATAATGCAGAGGAAAAAGCACCAGAGTTGGAGTAAACGACAAAGTTTCCAGATTTAACGCTGCCACTGACAATGTGTTCTTGGAAGTGTACTTTGCAAGTCTGGGTCCAACGATTTGGATTTCCAAACTCTTTCCCGAGAATGTAGGAGAAAGAGTCTTAATTTCTGACCACATAGCCCATCAGGATACCAGGATATGTCTCCTAGCAGTACTTCTGCACTTTAGAGTTCTTATGGAAAACTAACTCCTCTCTGAAGGGCATGCCTCCCCAGTTCAGCTCTCCCATTGCTTTGACAAATGCCGCAGTGAGACAGAATTTATATTCATGTGCCTATGATGTGAGGCACTTAGAAATGAGAGGACTGGGAATTTCCATCCTGCCTCAGCCTTGAGTTTTATAAAAGCTTCATTCTGTTTAGTTCATAAACCATGGAGCTTCTGGAGCAATGATACTCCCTGGGTAGCCAGGATATATACTCTGAGGGTGCTGGCTCAGAAAACATACATATATTTGGAAATGTTTTGCTTTCATGCTTAGTTAGGTGGGAAGAGTTAAAGGCTCTTGAAAGGGGAGGATCACGAAGGAAGGGCATCAGGTATCAACTCTTTCTATATCACAATTTTTGTCCAAGTCTCCTTCACAGTAATTTCTCATCCTCTTCATCAAGGAAGGAAAAATGGTGAGGGAATGTTAGATCTTCCAAAATGGGCCCCCACTAAAAAAAAAAAATAAAAACCAAGGTTTACACAACAGTTTTGATTAGAGAAACAGAAGGGCTCTTCAGGGAAAGAGTGGGCAGAGGTATACATCTCCTGCAGAGCGCCTTGGGAAAGATGCAGTGTAATCATACCTGCTGAGCCTGCCTGACTTCCAACCAGCATGATAACCCATTGTCTCATCCGCTCGTCTGTTTGTTCACTTCCTGCTCCATTAGTTTCCATATTAGTCCCTAGATTTCCCCAGAAAGACTCGCCAACAGTGCAGGGTTTTCTGTGGGAATCAAAAATGGGTTGACTGCTGTTATGCTCAACAGGCACAGAAGTGCTACTAGCTCCAGGAATAAAGGACTGTTTCATTACCTATTTGCTGGGGCCAGCTCTGGAAGTTACCTATTTTTCATTTGGAGAGCCCCTGATTATGCAAAATCCCCACTGGACCATAAGACCCAGGTTACTTAAGAAAATAAAAACCACATACTGAGCAATCTTCTGGAATCTACCAGCTGGATTCCTAAATGGTACAGGAAAATGGAAGCCAGTGAAGATGTCACACAAGAGAGTCCATGTCACCCGCAACGGAAAATATGAACATCGGAAGAATTTCCTGTTCTAAACAATGTGCCGTTTGAAATACACTCTCTGGAGACTCTCCTGAATGTACAGGCTTATGGCTGCTATTTATAGTGGCTGGTGTGTACTTTACCAAGATTTTTATTCCAACAAAGGAACTGTATGTGATGTAGGGGGTTATTAAAATGGAAAATAAACCTTCACATTTTAACTTAGTTAATTGGTACTAATCTCAAATGAAATGTCAAATCTCACTGATCTAGACTAACTGGAAGGAAGGCCAGTAAAAATTAAGCAGTATTTTAAAAGAAATTCAGTATTGAAAGTATGTTCAAGAATATCTGGTGACTTCAGCCAGACTAGCAAAACCTTAGAAACTTATTTAAAAATTGCATTAAAAAATGATTTATAATGAGCAAATTAAGCTTTTAAAGGCAGGTGGATGTTTGCAAAGTTCTTCAAAAAGTTTTAAAATGTTATGCTTTCAAGTATTTAATAACTAAGCCATGGAATGTAGCTTGCATAATTAACATATTAATCAAATCCTTTACTTATAAATAGTTCAAATTTATACTTTTATACAGTCCCATAAAGATTTAAAAATGGAAGAATCTGAATTGATGAAGATTTATGATAGACTAAAATCGGATTTTCTAACTGCTGATGAATATTACTTATTGTATAGCAAACTAGTGAAAAGAACTGATTTTATCCACAAAGTATGCACATTATTCCTCTTTAACCTCATTCACAGATGAATGAGAATCCATGTATTACAGCCACTACATCGTTTCAACATGCTCATGTTTCATATCCAGTGGTACTACCTTGTAACACTGTTAAGGACTTTTGGGATAAAAGGACAAGAATCTTCCTGAAAGCCTTTAAAGCAACTGAGACAGATTTCCCTTGAATAAGAATTTGGAATAGTCTGTTATCACTGCTGTCTGCCATTCCCACCTTGCCAAATGATGGCTGCAAATGCAGATCTCTTATACTTGGCTGGTCAGTGGGAAAACCAATGGGCAGAGTAGATATACTCAACATACATATTTAATAACCTTCATTACACTTTTATTTGATTTTGACAAACATTCTTTGCTTGTAGAGAATTCCTTGTTTGTAATACCTCTCCAAGATTCCCAGCTGTAGTCAGCAGAAGGACTCCTTTGGTCCTGTGTGTTTAGAAAGGCAAACGTGTTGCCCACTCAGGGAACAGTGGTCTCTAATTAAGATCTTCACTTGAGTCTGGAGAGACTCTTTGGAAAGTCCTGGATCACAGGGTCCTGGAAAAACTACCACCTAAATTCATATTATCTTATTTAGAATTTTATTTAAAATTTCAGGAATCTAGTTTCTGCTGTGGATGGAGAGGCAGGGGGTGGGACTGGAGAGAGGTCTGCCAGAAGTTTCAGAGGTACTGGAAATGTTCTAGGTCTTAAGCTGAGTATTAAGTTTACAATGATTTATAACCTCTATATACATTACATAATATTATTTTGTATGTATTGGCCTTTTCATCACTTACTCAGAATAAAATGATTAAAAATTATTTTGTAAAAATTAGCACGTAACTTTATATTATTAGCACAGTATTTATATACATTGTTGAGAGGCTTTTTGTTACTGCTTCAAGCAAAGTTGAAACCACAATTATGTGACATAAAAAAAACTGGAATTCCACAAGGCAAAAAAACTATTTAGAATATATGATTAGTTGAATACTAGATATATAAATTAACTGAGATCAAAGCCTTGACATGTTAGATACCAGACTATCCTATGTTTTAATTTTAATTTCAAACCAGTAGGGAAGATTAAAAAAAGACTCTAAAATAAGGAGGTAGATTTTCTTTTCAGCATGGAGACTTCATGTCCATAATTCTCCCACCATTTTCAAAGTGGCTGCTAAAACAGATTTGAAACAGAATAGAGGTTAGACACCAAATTGTCTGAAGACATGGGGACTGTGCACATGTTCAGTGATTCAGAAACCCCAGAAGAGAGCTGCAGAGGGGCCAAGTTTCTTAGAAGATGACTCTGGAGAGGGCTTTCCTGATAGCTCCTTCCTTACAATGTCCTCCAGTCAGTCGAAAACCAGCACCAACAGGTAACATTTACTGAGCACTGATCATATATACACATCAGGCATACATATCACATATACACACATGTACACATAGGTAGCCTATCTACCTGTCTAGTGCTTTGTATTCTCTGTGAAATCTTACGAGGAAGAACTGTTAAGAGGCCATTTTCCTGATGAGGAAATGGGCTCAGAGAGGCTAAGCAGAGTTATCCTTGCTGACCCAGCCAGGACTAAGACCCAAGTCTGCATGGTTCTGCTTTCTGGGAGACATCATCATGTCTGTGTCCCACTCCAATCTGCCCCATTCTCCCAAAAGATAGTAGCAATAAAGGTGGCACATGAAATCCTCTTTAAGAAATCAAATAAGTTCTTGTCTTTTTCATATTTAGAGAGAAAACACCTTTGATGAGTTTTAATTGCTAAAATGAAACTGGTAAGGACGGAAAAATCCTTCATAATAACTTAATGTCATGATTAAACCTGGTTTAAAGAAATCTTGCCAAGACAACATATACCAAATAAAAGACTTCCAAAATTGACGGCAAATGGGGTTCTAATTTGGAAAATCACCAGTTTTCTTTTCCTTCTTGACTAAGATGGCAAAGTCTGATTCCCATTTCCTAGCAGTTAACTGTTTTCATTCTGCCTATCCACTTATCTTTCTTTGCTTTTCATTTTATTCACCATGAATGTGACCAAGTCTCTTTTTATTTAGAAGTATTATCCATAAACTATTTTTAAATGAAAAAGAAAGACCCTACATACCATACAATGTAGTATGTACTGTTTTCCCAAAAGCGTGCTCTATTTTCCCCAATCAATAACTATGGCAATTTTTTGCAGACAACTCCATTTATTCAGGGGTCTGCACTGTGCCAGCAGGCTCTGCCTCAGCTTAGCTGAGTGATCATGAGGAAGTCAGCATCCTTAGGCTTAAGTCTCTTCATATGTAAAATGAACTTTTAAAATTCATTAGATCAGGGGTTCTTGGCTCAGTGTTCATGGGCCTCCAGGAGGTCTGTGGATGGAGGTCCATGATGCCACCAAAAGTAAGTGTCAAGTTTTGTGGGTGCATATGTACATTTTTCTTGGAGGAGCATCTATAGCTTTCATCAGAGACTCAAAGTAGTGTGTGGTCCAGAAATGAAAAAGTAACATTTCACTGCAGAAGATTATCTCTCAGGTCGGTGACAGACTCATGATTTTATGAGTGATGATGTGACTAAGTCCCTGTCCCAACAGTGAATATAGTCTTATTGAGAGTATTCCAGAGAGAAGTCAAGAAGAGTTATGCCAACAGTCTTCTTTGGCTTGAGGGAGAAAACCTGATCTTTTCTGTTTCTGTTTTTCTGTGAAATGGGAATAAGACGGGAGATTTTTTTGAGGGCAAACAAAACAATGTCTGTGTCTACACATGTGAGCAATTTACCTGAATACGCATAGAGAACAGTTCAATTAAACCCAATAGCCTCATTTAGTCTGGTGCCACATAACTGCTTTGACTGACTCCCCCATCTTAGGGAGTTATTTTGGCATTGTAGAGATGATGGACCTTTAGCCAAGACAACCAGCTGAAACATGAAAAATTCCATTGATCAACTTGCTACAGTGAAAGGGGGCAGGCAGACCCAGATTACATTCCCTAGCTATATGAAGCTGGACATACAACTTAGCCTTTCAGATCTACAGTTTCCTCAGCTATAAAATAGGAATGATAATATCCAAGTCTGCTATAGACTGAATGTTTGGGTCCCCCTAAATTCATGTTGAAACCTAACCCCCAATATGATGGTTAGAGTTGGAACTTTGGAAGGTGATTAGGTCATGAAGGTGGGACCCCCATGAATGGGATAAGTGCCCTTTTTAAAAGAGACCCTTGAGAGTTCTCTTGCCCCTCTTGCCATGTGAGGACACAACAAAAAGATGGTTGTCTCTGACCAGGAAGCAGACCTTCACCAGATACTAAACATGCTGATGATTTGATCTTGGACTTCTCAGCCTCCAGAACTATGAGAAATAAATTTCTACTGTTCATAAGTCACCCAATCTATGGCAATCTGTTGTAACAGCATGAACAAACTAAGATAAGTTCATAGGTTGTTTTGACAATTAAATGACATAAAGTCTATAAAGTTCATCACCACCCTGGCACTTGGTTGATGTTAAACAAAGGATGGTTCCTTTTCCTTTCTAACACGAGATGAAAAGTTTGGCTGATACTTTTTTCCACTTGAGAACTATTTTTGCTGAACTGAACTCTTCAGGTAAAATTCTGAGTTGTGTTTTATATACTGTATTTAAAATAAAAGACATATCATTAATGAACTAGAAAATTAACTTCATGGCTACAATATGTAATTTTGAAATCCTCCAATACCAATTACATTTGTGTGGTAGACTTATAACTGAATCCCTTTGCTGTATACCTGAAACACTGTAAATCAACTATATTTCAGTAAAAAATAAAAATAGAAACATCTTAGCAAGTGTCCAGATCAGCACAGGAAAGAAACTTCGCAGTAAGGATGCAACACATCAGAATGACAGATGAACGAAAATTCAAATTCAGTAAAATATTATTTTGTACCAAAGGCCTACCAAAGTATTAATATGATTTTAATAATAACATTTAACATTTGTTGAGCACATACTATGTGCCTTTCATTGTGTTAATTTCCCTACGTGGGTTAACTAGCTTACTCTTTACAATGACTCTGTGAGGTAGAATAATCATGTCCATTTTTATACATAAAGAAATTAAAGCAA